CCAGACCCTGAGGGACCAGCAAAAGTACTGACTGCTTGCAAACAAGCCCTGAACAGAAGGGTGGGGGTCTTGCCAAAGCACAGCTACATCAAACCTTTGAAGAGACAGCAACCTACCAGAGGAGGCCCAGGGCTGGGAGAGTTGTGCCCTGATAGGCCACAAGGGAGTGCTACAGAGACAAACCTGGTCACAAGGACTGCAGTGCCTTTTATCCTTTGTATCTAGCTAGGAAACTGCAACTGCTCCTCTCTAATACAGACCTAGTAACAGTCATCTATGCCTTAGTCAGCTTTCCGTGAAACTACATAATGAGCTCTACTTAGGACCACTCCTATAACAGAAGCTTCAGCTGGTACAGAATTTAGCCGCCAGCCTCTCAAGTGGAATAAACAGCCAAAAGAACACAATGCTCACCCTTGTCTTTGCACTGGGCTTCTATTCCTTTCCAGGTGAAAGGCAAGGTGTTGGTGATCATTTTAAAACTCTGAATGGTCTGGGAGCCAACTACCTGAGGAACCACCTTTTGCCTTAGACCTCAACACTTCAATAAGAGCCTTTCAGCTGATTTTAACTTTCAGAGCTTGGGACTGAACTCTTGTGAACTCTCTTAGTAGAGGGCCCTCACTTCTGGAATTCCTATCCCTTGGCAGAGTTGTACAAACTTTAGGGAATGAAGACAGACACTTATTTTATTCAGCTGTATGCTAATTTTTCCCCCTCTCCTGACAATATTTCAGCCAGCAGCAGCGATTGAGTAGTTCTACCCATTTTATTTTAAAATTTTGTAAGAGCTCAATAAATCACTAAGAATAAAGAAATCATAACTAGAAAGATGCCAGCAGCTCTTGAAGAATATCTACACCGGTGAGATAATTCATAAGAATGGCAATACTGGGTCAGACCAATTGTCTCCCTAGCCCAGTATGTCATCCAACAGTGGCTAATGCCAGATATTACAGAGGGAGTGAACAGAACACGGACAATTTTTGAGCAATCCATCCCTAGTCATCCAGCCCCATCTTGTAGCAGTTAGAGGTCTAGGTACACTCAGAGCATAGGGTTGTGTCCCTGGCCATCTTGGTTACTAACCATTGATGGAACTATCCACCATGAACTTATGTAATTCTTTTTTGAACCCAGCTATACTTCTGGCCTTCACAACATCCTCTGGCAACAAGTTCCACAGGATGACTGTGCATTGTGTGAAGAAGTACTTCCTTATGTGGTGGGTTTCTTTGGTATTTCCCCCCTGCAATGATGTTAAATTTAATTACATTATGGTTGCTATTACTCAGCGGTTCTGCTATATTTCTCTCTTAAACCAGATCCTTGGAGGACTAAATCAAGAATTGCCTCTCCCCTTATGGGTTCCAGGACTACCTGATCCATGAAGCAGTCATTAATAGTTTCTAGAAATTGTTGTTGGGTTTTCTTTTTTTGTACCCTCTCTAGTCAGCCTGAGCTTTTCCCAGTCACGGTCACCATCTTGGACAGGTGGTCAGTAGTATATTTCTACTGCTATACTCTTATAGCATGGAATTTCTATCCATAGAGTTTCTATGGTACTGTTTGATTCATTTAAGATTTTTACTATGCTTGTCTTTGCTTTCTTTCATACTCCCCTGACAGCATGACTTACAAAATATATAGAAATGACAGAGTATTCTGGTATTACCGTGTCCCATTGCTTATCACTGTTCCAAGTTTCTGTGGCACCTACTATTCTCAATATTCTCATTTAATACTGTGACAAAGTTCCTCCTCTACCTTGGTGGCTCTGGCGCTTGTTGGCAGATTTGCTCGCCTTCACAGCAGCCCTCAGCTTGGCCGTTTTTCTGAACCCACAGTCCAGGTCGACTCCTCCTGTGTCTGACCAGAAGTTGGGAGGTTTGGGGGGAACCCGGGCCGGCCCTCTACTCTGGGTTCCAGCCCAGGGCCCTGTGGAATGCAGCTGTCTAGAGAGCCTCCTGGAACAGCTGTGCGACAGCTACAACTCCCTGGGCTACTTCCCCATGGCCTCCTCCCAACACCTTCTTTATTCTCACCATAGGACCTTCCTCCTGGCATCTGATAATGCTTGTACTCCAACAGTCCGCATTCTCACTCTGAGCTCCTAGTGCCTCTTGCTCCCAGCCCCTCACATGCGCACCACAAACTGAAGTGAGCTCCTTTTTAAACCCAGGTGCCCTGATTAGCCTGCCTTGATTCTAGCAGCTTCTTGATTGGCTGCAGGTGTTCTAATCAGCCTGTCTGTCTTAATTGTTTCCAGAAGGTTCCTGATTGTTCTGGAAACTTCCCTGTTACCTTACCCAGGGAAAAGGGACCTACTTAACCTGGGGCTAATATATCTGCCTTCTGTCACTCTCCTGTAGCCATCTGGCCCGACCCTGTCACAATACCAAGCACTCAAATTCACCCATCTTAGTATTTAGACTTTGCTCATTTGTATACAAGCACTTATAAAATTTGTCAATATTTAGTTTGTCTGCCTTCATGTGATGTCATTGAATGGGACTCTTTCATTTGACTCTCTCTCGTCTGCTCCTACCTGTACTTTATCAACTTCTATCCTCTCCTCTTTACTAGGCTATTCAGTATCCCCTTTAATAAATCATCCCCTAAGGGATGTGTCTGTCTGAACTGTGTGCTCCTCCAAACCTGTCAGCTTTCTCCCAGCCCTTAGTTTTAAAAACTCCTCTAACCCTTTTAATTTGACGTGATAGCCAAGACCAGTCTTTCAGACACTGGTCTCCATTTTTGCAGGTCCAAACAATTATGGGTACAATTTTGTGTATGCAAATCAGACCACACACACTTAGGACCCAAACTGTGTCTGTGCAAATTTTGGCCCACAGTTATCTGCCAGTGCAATCTTTATGCTGGCACTAAAGTGAGATCAGTTAAAGCCAGGCTGCAGGCTTGAGCCTTAAAGTCCAGAATAAAATAGCACTGTGTTTTCTGTAGTCAGAGGAGATCAGCGAGTATTATCAGTACTTAACACCATTTTTCTCTATCTACATTAGAGTGACCAGACAGCAAGAGTGAAAAATTGGGACAGGGAGTGGTGGGAAATAGGCACCTATATAAAATAAAGTCCCAAATATTGGGACTGTCCCTATAAAATTGGGACATCTGGTCACCCTAAGCTACATCCAATCTCAAACATTTTAGATACTGAAGTAATTAAACTTTAATAGTCAATATCTCTCGGTAAAATACATGCAAGACTGGATTGGTACCTTTTTATTTTTGGGGGGGACAGTTTTTAGGTTTGCTTCTTGCTGTTACTCTGCAACTGCGACTTCACAAACAGCAGTTAGGACTCATGCTGTGCCCTCAATATGCCAGCACTAACTCCAGCAGTGTAGGCTTCCTCACAGCAGTGTCCTATTAACTCCAGCTTTAGGGCTCTGGCAGAGAGTTTCCTCACAGCGAAGCCCAAGTCACAGTACCATATCTCCTGCTTCCTCACACAGCAAGGCCAGCTAACATTCTGGCAGTTCCAAGCCTCCTTGCCGTAGTGCCTGGCCTATGACATACAAGATCTCAGTGGTTTGGGCTTTGTTCCCTAGTCAGTTTCTGCTCTGCTCTCATGCTTTGGGTATATCTTCTCTGCACTGTTATACCAATGATCCAAACTCAGGTTAGCCAAGCCTGGTTGTGAGCAGCCACACTGCAAAGCCAGACCCCCGTTACTGGGTCCTCACTGGTGCTGTGGCTAGGACTTTCCCTTTGTCTGTCTGTCTGTTGTTCTCGGAGAAAAGCAAAGACAGGGCTGAAACTATACTGAAAGAAGCTTGGGGCCAGGTATGAAAAATCATCTAAATCATACCTAAAAACTACTAATTTGAAACCCCCAGATATGTAAGTAGATCAGAAAATGTCTAGGAAGATGCAATTAGGTTTATTTATTTTTATTTCTTTATGGCTTGTGGACTTCTCTGTGCTAACCCCAAATGCTTTTGTTTTGCTTGTAACCTTTAATCTGGACCTCAAAAAGGTTATTCTTGATGCTTAATTTTTGTAAGTGCGTTTTTTAAATCTAGCAATAGGCTGAGTTTTCACATGTATTTCTTTCTTTTTGTTTTTAATAAAATTTACCTTTTTTAAGAACAGGATTGAATTTTGTGTCCTAAAAGGTTTGTGCACATGCTGTTTAATTAGCTGGTGGCAACAGCTAATTTCCTTTGTTTTCTTTCTCAGGGTGAAAGGGCTTAAGGGTACCCCACAGGTACCCAGCCACTGCTACAGAAGAGCCTATGCTTCACTGGCACTGCATGTAATAAATCATTAACTTAGCATTGCTTTCAGAGTGATCATTATAGTGGGTATGGCAACACCCATTTTTTCATGTTCTCTGTGTGTATATATATATATCTTCTTACTTTATTTTCCACTGCATGCATCTGATGAAGTGGGTTTTAGCCCACGAAAGCTTATGCTCAAATAAATTTGTTAGTCTCTAAGGTGCCACAAGTACTCCTCATTCTCTTAGCATTTCTATAACCTCTTCCCTCCATGTATCTCAACACACGTCACATCAACTGGATTAAACCTTATAGCACCCTTCAGGTTAGTTTGGGCTCTTTGTAATAGGTTCTCTCTTATTCCCAAACATACAGGGCCTGATTCTCATTTACCCCAAGGCCCCTTTACACTTCCAGAGCAAGAGAAAGGTGTAAAGGGGCCTTTGTGTAAATGAGAATCAGGACCATGGAAGTATCCTGAAGAGATGTTTAGGGATAATGTCCCCCTTAAGGATTCCTAAAAGGGATGGAAAAAAATAAATACACTCTGAAGACTACAGAGGAAATGTGAGAGGAAAGAGACTGAAGTATTTCTGTGAACATCCTAAAGTTTGTGTGTGAAGTTTTTTTGTTTTGATTAAAAGGATGTTTTTCAATGTGTCTCCTTAACTGGCAGTCTCTGGGGTGATGCGATGTTGGGCAGGTATTCATCACAGCTAACTGAGTGGTTGTGTCATACCCCAGGACACTCACCTGCTCCACATGGGGCTTCTTAGCAAAGGAGATCCTGGCTATAGAGTGAGAAGCTATAGACAGCTCCTGTCCGTTCACTTCCCCTTCCTCCACCTCCACAAGACCTGGAGCGAGAAGGGATATTATTAACATCATTATAAGCTACAAAAGGCTAACTATAGTGCAACCACACATGTAGATCTGTATAAGAGTACACAGCTCTCCCTGTTGGTATCTACCAGTGCAAACAGCTTAGTTAACAATTTGAAAGACAAACTGGCAAACCTAGTGCTCCCTGCCTACATGATATTGTCACCTGCCAGGATATGCCACGCCATTACTAGCAGTGGAATCAATAGCATGAAAGTGCAGTTCAGTAGAGAGCTAGCAGAGTGCTCAAAGGCAGACTGCTAGGTAGTTTTAGATGCAATTTGAGAAGTTGACTGGATTTTAAAATTCTTTCACTTCTAATAATTTGGGTGAGGTTCTCACCCCAGCTCTGTCCCCTTTAAGCAGCCTGGGAAGGCCACTGTAAATTAGGACTGTCTAAATTATGCTAGGGGCACCTGAGCAGCCCAGGATAGAGAGGGTGCAAAGGTGGCTTAAAGCCACAGTGGGCTCTGAGTTCTGTGATGCACCCCTATGAGGTGGACCCCTGGAGTGTTGTTAACACAAGTAAGAACTTTTTAAAAAGAAATGTGACCTGCCAAAGTCTCTAAGGAGTCACCTGGCAATTAGCCAAATAACATGACAGCTGCAATAGGAAGAGTTGCATCCTCAAAACAGAAAATTGTGAATCATGGTGTGCGCCTTCCTACACCCACAGTGGGATCTACAGTTTCCAGAACACTTGTGTTTCAAGTAGGGAGTAATAGATGAGAGAAGGACACCATCAAGGGAATGGAAATGTTACAGCTTACATTTAACTTGGCAGGCTGCTTGCCTTCTGCTATCTTCAAGGCTCCAGACCTGTATTTGATTTTCAGTTTTACTAGTCATCCTTTGTTTATAAAGCTGTGCTTGAAAATTGGAAGGTATTTTGGGGAGCTTCATCCCCATCCAACTTATTGTTCTATTCAAAAAGAGGACACTCCCTAACCTCGCATAGGACTCGAGTGGTATCCTGGTTTAGAGTCCTCTGACGCTCTTGGAGAAAGCTGGGGGCCTAGTTCTTCTCCCAAAGAACTATATGAATCACTGGCAACTTGTCACTCACAACAGGTTTCACAGTGCAGGAGCTCATTCGTATCAGAGGTAGAAGTACTGCTTCCTGGTGCCGGATTATCAATTAAAACAGATTATATGAAAACCTCACACAGGCCCAATAATGTTCTGAAGCATAGATGTAGGAGACTGCTGGTCCTTCTTCCCTCTCCCACAGAACCCAAATGTAAAGCAATAGTGCAAATTGGTAGGGTATCAGGCCAGTACCTGTGTTCTGGGCACTGATGAAGGCCACCTTGTTAGTGTCAGGTTTGAGGCGGATGAATCCACATTCTCTGTGCATTGGCTTCCTGGTGTCTGGATGGAAAGCATTAAACCTGTTGGGAAATCAGGATGCAAAAACTACAATATTTCTGCCATGGAAGAATAGCAAAATGCAAGGTGTTCAGCCCAGTCTCATCACCGAGAGAATGATACTTTATTCAATGGAGTGGTCACCAGCTGTACCTACATTATGAATAGAAGAATACAAAAAACATCTCCACACTATGGATGCACCAGTGCTTGACACAGCAGTAAAGCAGCATTTCAGCACTGGAAGTTCTAAACCTGTATAAGATACATCATGTTATGCCTAGCTAACATTTACAGAGATACTTTGCTTTTCATACTAATGCTTGGAATTTTCCACAGCTCATCTGTCTCAATACAAGGACTTGTTGAGAGGGATCTTTGGGAATTCCGCCCTTTCATTGATTGGGGGCCACCTATATACTCCTCCTTACTCAATTAAATGTCTGATCTTATATCATCTATCTTCCAGTTTGCAAGGCTGGCTGGCTGGTCGCCTCCTCCAAATATCAGTCTGCAAGAGCCATTAAGTCATTGCTCTTCTCCACAAAGTACAAATACACCAACTTGGAGACACATGTGGTCTCCATCAGCCCCTGCAATTATGTATTCTGGTCAGTTCTACTCTGGGTCTTGTGTGCAACAATAAATTGCATTAGTGCAGCTGCACCACTGAGTCTGCCTTCACTTTTGATTATTAATTAAATACTGTCAGACTAGCAGAGCATACTTTTTCTGCTTCTTTCTTATTTCCCATGTCACTAGATGGCATTTCCAACCCCTCATTTGCATAAATGAAAGGGGGTGGTGGGGCTTCCTCTGAGCTGTTGCTAATTCTGCTCCAGGAATTCCCTACTCTGGCTGTCATCTACAGACACATCTCAGTAGTACTCCTCCCCAACTCTGACATGCACACTTACCACAAACCTATGGAATGCTTAGACCGTACTAGGTCACAGAAATCTGACCCCCCTCTCAAAACTAAACTATCGCCAGGGCCTGCAAAGTGTTCCATTTCATTAGTTGAAGTCCAAACGTTAACAGCATAAGTACAAAACGTACCCATGAACACTCAGCAGAGTTACACACTAGAGACTGTCACAACAGCTACTAATCACAAAAGACGATCAACGTGAAATATTCAAAGAACACATTTTACATGTGTAATAAGTATAAGTAAGCATGCAAGATCATTTCATGACAGACATACAGCCTGGGGTGCCCAAGAAATAGACTATCAACATATCTTAACATGATCTAAGTACTCTTAATGTAATGAGAAATAAGGAATTGTGTGCAGAGCTAGGCACACAAACAAGGAAAGTTTTGTGTGTTTGCAGTTGCACTCTGATCAATAATCTCCTTTGTTTATGAACATGTTATCTCTCTTGTTTGGCCTTATCTAGACAGAAAAGTTGTACTGCTTTAACTATACCAGTATAGTTAAAGAGGTACAATTCTCCTAGTGGAATGCAGTTTTAAGCATTCCATAGGTTTATGGTAAGTGTGCATGTCGGAGTTGGGGAGGAGTACTACTGAGATGTGTCTGTAGATGACAGCCAGAGTAGGGAATTCCTGGAGCAGAATTAGCAACAGCTCAGAGGAAGCCCCACCCCCCCTTTCATTTATGCAAATGAGGGGTTGGAATGGTATGGTATGAATGTGCTTCTACTGGTATAGCTTATTCCTGTATGTGAAGGGCAATAAAGCAATACATGTAAGGGGCATCTTGACACAGTATAACTGCATCCACACTAGGGGTTATACCAGTATAATAATATCAGTTAAAAAAAACAATACCCCAACCAACCTATTTATATTACTATAAAAACTGCATGTAGTCTAGGTGTGTGTCGTCTTTTGCATTATGTTAAGAACTTATAATTATTTCTTTCTCCTGCATTCAGAGCAATAACCTTTGTAATCTGAGTAGCAGGCAAAACTGAGTAGCAGGCAAAAAGCTTATTTTTACTAACATGAATACTAAAATGTTAGCTAAAAGATCTATCTTCCTCCAAATCTCTTTTTTTCTTGCACACAATTTCTTAAACCTACATGTCCAAAATGGCTAAATAATTAGCTCTTTACCCTATATGCCCTACTAAGCACTTCATTTAATCACTCTATTTTTTTTCATTATCTACAATATAGACAGATTGCCAAGATTTAAATGGACAGATTTAGCAGCCTCTTCACAGTTGCTTGTGTGAGGACACATGGATTGTTTGTTTAAATTTATAGCAGAAAGGGTCTGGGTCTAGGCACAAGCTCTACAGTGAAGCAGAGAGAGTAGCTCTAGGGATAATCTTATTAAAGTGCCTAGCTCAGCATTAAGAATATTGTCTGTCTCGTGCCTTAGGCCAGTGTAAATCTGTGGCTATATACATACACGTACACACACACACCAGGTTTAAGTGTCCAGAAAGTTAAAAACCTACTGATACTCAAAATATGATGATTCTTTGGACCACTCAAATAAATCTCTCTCATGGAACCACTCTCTTGCCCAACCTCCCAAGTCCTCTGCTGCGTGGCTCTCAAAACTTTGCACTTTGTGGACCACATGGATGTGCTCTATTAACTGCTTGTGGTCCTCTGGCAACAGGTCACTAGCATGTGCACACTTAAAATTATCATCATGCTCCCCGGCCTGCCCACTTATTTCTGCATTCCCATTGAGGTGTGTAGCGATTTGTAAACATTTAAGTGAACAGAAATGCAGATGAATGTTTAATCAAGAACAGCAGTTGCCAGATTTAGGTGTGTAACCCGGGCACATGATGCAATGGAGTTGTTACTGCTCAGCACCTCTAAAAATCAGGCCACCCAGTCAGATCCAATCATATCCTCTCTTCTGACAGGTGAATAATTTTTACTATACCACTTTTTTTTTTATGTGCAGCCAGTAAACCTGTTGGGGTTTACGCACACTCAATCCAAAGGCACTGCCATGACAAACTAAGTTTTAGACTTACGAAAAGTTCAGCATGGGTTGCCCCACGTGAGAGATGTGCACCTCTTCCAGGTACTGAAAGGGCTTCATTGTAGGGAAGTCACCATCTCCCGGTGGGTCTGACAGCCAGGTGCCCAGCATCCAGGACAGAGGCTCAATCACAGGGTTTAGCTGGGGGGTCTCTGTTGAGAAGGAGGAAAGAATCAGGAACTTTTGACTCAGAGATCTGCTTAAGAGGTCTCTGTCAACTGTGTAGAATGTGGGAGAGTTTATGGAAAAGCATCTCACAGATGTTAGGATACATCATCACTGCTTCTTGCTAGATCAGTGGCACCTTCAAAGTATGAATGGAGCTGGGAACAAAGGACAACAGTTGTGGAGAACAAGTCTGACTTAAAATCTGCTTCTTGGTCTTGCAGTTAATACAGCATGTGACTGCATGTAGAGCTCACCAACCTCAGGCTTCCCCAATCAATGTTGATAAAGAATAGGTGTACGTTCAAGGGAAAACTGTGAAACTTCAGGGCTGCAAGTTAGGCACCAAAAACATATTTAGATACCTTCATTACATGGCCTGATTTTCAGAAGTGCTGAGTATCTGCACCTCCTCCTGGCTTAAGATGGAGGAGATGTGACTATTCATCACCTCAGAAAACAATCTGCCCAACATCAGGTGCACAACTTCAGTCATCCAACTTTCAGAAGTTTGGCATAAGTAAGGGTCAGGAAGTAGGATGCAGTGCCATTAGGGACCCTTCTCGTGGCTAGTCTAAATGCAGTGTCACAAGAGAGGACAGACAGTAGCAACCATGAATGTAGCAATGAACTATACATGGAAGAGGACGGGGATTTAATAGAGGAGAATGAAGGTGGTTAAAGGATCTCCTGAATATAGTATAGCTATATTCTGCAAGAATGCTTGAAAGAGTGGTACCTTCACACCCTTGCCAAGTTAAGTTACAGCATTGATACAAAACATGGGACTGCAAACTAGGCTATTTACAAAACCTAAAAAGGTTAGAATTCCATTTAAAAGAGCATAGGGATGGCAAACATGAAACACAGATGACTGTTGTTTTCAACAACCCGATATATCCCTGTTCAACAATATTTCACCTAGGCATCCCATTTAAGCCACTGACCCACAGCAGGATACCGTGTAGAAAAATTCATAAGCACATAAGAACAGCCATACTGGGTCAGACCAAAGATCCATCAAGCCCTGTATCCTGTCTTCTGACAGTGGCCAATGGCAGGTGCCCCAAAGGGAATGAACAGACAGGTTATCATCAAGTGATCCATGCCCTGTCACCGAATCCCAGCTTCTGGCAAACAAAGGCCAGGGACACCATTCCTGCCCATCCTGGCTAATAGCCATTGATGGACCTATCTTCCATGAATCTATTTAGCTCCCTTTTGAACCCTGTTATAGTATTTGCCATCACAACACCCTCTGGCAAGGAGTTCCAGAGGTTGACAGTGCATTGCATGAAAAAATACTTTCTTGTGTTTGTTTTAAACCTACTACCTTTTAATTTCATTTGGTGGCCCCTTGTTCTTATATTATGAGGAGTAAATAACACTTCCTTATTTACTTTCTCTATACCACTCATGATTTTATAGACCTCTATCACATCCCGCCTTAGTTGCCTCTTTTCCAAGCTGAAAAGTCCCAGTCTTATTAATCTCTCCTCATACAGAAGCCGTTCTATACCCCTAATAATTTTTGTTGCCCTTTTCTGAACATTTTCCAATTCCAATATATCTTTTTTGAGATGGGGTGACCACATCTGCATGTGGTATTCAAGATGTGGGCATACCATGGATTTATATAGAGGCAATATGATATTTTCTGTCTTATTATCTATCCCTTTCTTGATGATTCCCATTCATCAGGAAACTGATTGACAGACCCACCTCACAAACATTTTCGGTGCTCCAAGCCAAACCAAAAAATACAGTAATGCATGTCTGGATGAAGAATGACAAAGATATAATCAGGGCCAACTTGTGGATGTGCAAGAGGCCAATCAAAACTTGGGCACAAACTCTTGGAAGGGGCTAATGAGGCCATAATTTGCCTCCCCTCTGCTGGAAACTCACAGCGAATTGTTTCCCCACTGCTAGACAGGAATAAGGGTTAGTCCAAGAGTTGCTTTGCTTATGCTTAAGGCCCAGGCTGGGTAAAAGCCAATTAAGACACTATGGCACGCAGGCTAAAGTAGAAATGGACCAGAAAGCTGCTCTGTGATGGGAATAGCTCTATTCCATTATTACATTTATATGGAACCTTTGTCTCATGACACAAAGACACCTTCTTTAATGAGTCACTGTGAGAGGAACAGCTTTGGTAAATAACAATTGTGCACTTTTTATTGTGTAATGTGATTTTAATAGGGTATGCACTGTAAAAAAAACAAAAAACAACCTCTCTCACCCCAAGAAATTAATTGAGATGCACTGACACCATTTCAGGTCCCTGTGAATGGCAAAGCATTTCGTACTGATGATGCGAGTAAGAAAAGGGATACATTACCCCTATTACATCAGGGAAGACCAAAACAAACATAACTGGATATGCCCACTGCACGGTCTAGAGTGGTGACATTAAGCGTTGTGAAGCCAGAGATCCAAATTCAGGAGTCAATGTAGTATGTTCCTCTCCCACACTAGCTAAAAGAGTCCACACACTCAACCCAATGGGAAAAGAGTTTATACACCTACTGCCATCATTACCTGGCAACAAGCAGGAATGTGATACAGGTTTGGCTAGGCTGGAAGGTAGAGACAAAATTATGAAGAAAATCGAGGACCTAAACGGGTGATGTCATAGGTGAAAACTTGCTAGGCCAGTGTGAAACTCACTGTGCCTCAATCCCAAATTGCTTGTTAAAAGTAGTGGGAAAGGGAGGAGAGAGAGTCCATGTTTAGAGGAGCAGACTGAAAGGTAAGGGAATGATGCATCCGAGGGTGCTGAGGAAATTGGCTGATGTGATTGCAGAGCCATTGGCCATTATCTTTGAAAACTCATGGCAATTGGGGGAGGTCCCGGACGACTGGAAAATGGCAAATATGGTGTCCATCTTTTAAAAAGGGAAGAAGGAGAACCGGAGGAACTACAGACCTGTCAGCCTCACCTTAGTCCCTGGAAAAATCATGGAGCAGGTCCTCAAGGAAACCATTTTGAAGCACTTGGAGGAGAGGAAGGTGATCAGGAACAGTCAACATGGATTCACCAAGGGCAAGTCATGCCTGACCAACCTGAATGCCTGATGTGATAACTGGCTCTTTGGATATAGGGAAAGCAGTGGATGTGATATATCTTGACTTCAGTAAAGCTTTTGATACCATCTCCCACAGTATTTTTGCCAGCAAGTTAAAAAAACTATGGATTGGATGAATGGACTATGAGGTGGATAGAAAACTGGCTAGATTGTCGGGCTCAATGGGTAGTGACCAATGGCTCGATGTCTAGCTAGCAGTCAGTATCAAGTGGAGTACCACAGGGGTAGGTCCTGAGGCCGGTTTTGTTCAACATCTTTATTAATGATCTGGATGATGGGATGGATTGCACCCTCAGCAAGTTCGCAGATGAAACTAAACTAGGGGGAGAGGTAGATACACTGGAGGGTAGGGATCGGGTCCAGAGTGACCTAGACAAATTGGAGGATTGGGCCAAAAGAAATCTGATGAGGTTCAACAAGGACAAGTGCAGAGTCCTGCACTTAGGACGGAAGAATCCCATGCACTGTTACAGGCTGGGGACCGACTGGCTAAGCAGCAGTTCTGCAGAAAAGGACCTGGAGATTACAGTGGATGAGAAGCTGGATATGAGTCAGCAGTGTGCCCTTGTTGCAAAGAAGGCTAACAGCATATTAGGCTGCATTAGAAGGAGCACTGCCAGCAGATCGAGGGAAGTGATTATTCCCCTCTATTCGGACCTGGTGAGGCCACATCTGGAGTATTGCATCCAGTTTTGGGCCCCCCACCACAGAAAGGATGTGGACAAATTGGAGAGAGTCCAGCGGAGGGCAACGAAAATGACCAGGGGGCGAGGACACATGACTTACGAGGAGAGGCTGAGGGAACTAAGCTTGTTTAGTCTGCGGAAGAGAAGAGTGAGGGGGGATTTGATAGCCGCCTTCAACTACCTGAAGGGGGGTTCCAAAAAGGATGGAGTGCGGCTGTTCTCAGTGGTGGAAGATGACAAAACAAGAAGCAATGGTCTCAAGTTGCAGTGGAGGAGGTCTAGGTTGGATATTAGGAAACACTATTTCACTAGGAGGGTGGTGAAGCACTGGAATGGGTTACCTAGGGAGGTGGTTCTCCATCCTTGGAGATTTTTAAGGCCCGGCTTGACAAAACCCTGGCTGGGATGATATAGTTGGTGTTAGTCCTGCTTTGAGCAGGAGGTTGGACTAGATGACCTGCTGAGGTCTCTTCCAACCCTAATCTTCTATGATTCTAATGAAAATTTTCCCCATCAAGAGAGGATTTTCATTTCTGTCACCTGTGGGGTCTCTCTTCTTGTGGCATCTCAGGTTCTGTACCAAAAGACTGGAGGATAGCTAATGTGATGCCAATTTTTAAAAAGGGCTCCAGAGGTGATGCCGGCAATTACAGGCCAGTAAGCCTGACTTCAGTACCGGGCAAACTGGTTGAAACAACAGTAAAAAACAAAATTGTCAGACACACAGATGAACATAATTTGTTGGGGAATAGTCAAGGTGGTATTTGTAAAGGGAAATCATGCCTCACCAATATATTAGAATTCTTTGAGGGGGACAACAAGCATGTAGACAAGGGGGATCCAGTGGGTATAGTGTATTTAGATTTTCAGCAAGCCTTTGACAAGGTCCCTCACCAAAGGCTATTAAGCAAAATAAGCAGTCATGGGATAAAGAGGGAAGGTTCTCTCATGGATTGGTAACTGGTTAAAAGACAGGAAACAAAGGGTAGGAATAAATGGTTAGTTTTCAGAATGGAGAGAAGTAAATAGTGTTGTCCCCCTGGTGTCTGTACTGGGACCAGTCCTATTCAACATATTCATAAATGATCTGGAAAAAGGGGTAAACAGTGATGTGGCAAAATCTGCAGATGATACAACACTACTCAAGTTAGTTAAGTCCCAGGCAGACAGCGAAGAGCTACAAAAGGATCTCTCAAAACTGGGTGACTGGGC